AATTTTGCAGGAGGTAAGATTGAACTGATGGAAAGTTACTTTACAAACTGATATTTTGCAGCTTTTGATGGAATCAGCCTCTCTGAGAGCTACCACAGAGTTTGGGAAACCTTACTACCAGCCGGCCTCAGAACCATTAAACTGAGTTTTAGAGCTGTACCCTCATAAGTAGATAACAGGAAGAGTTGCATAGCCATTATCAAGGAGGTAAGCATTCACCCTCACACCAAAGGCATGGAAACTTGCCACTGTGGCTTCGATCACATGCCTAGCAACAATAATAATTAGTGTATTTCCTAAGGTTTTATTAAAAGCAAAAATAAAACTATAACAACCTTTTGCATATAAAAACTACTATCTTTAAAAAAAACATTGTTTTATGAAATATGCATTTGCTGAGGATTAAGGCTAGCATAAATTTGCAGAACACTCTAACACCTATCTTTTGATACCAAGTTATAGATTATAAGATATGAATTGACTGAGTTATAACTAAAAACAAACTACTTCAAACCTTATAAATTTGTTACCTAAAACCTCATAACTTTTTATAGAATTGACAGATTATAAACCATTTAGCAATTAAGATTATGAGCAATTTAGTATTTAATCTTTTTTAATTCATTTTATTTGTGCCACTTACCTAAATTAGGAGATCATGATCTCCTAATTTAAGTAAAAAAACATGTTTGATTCATACTAAGTGTTTACTTACTTTTCTTTTTGTATCCCGATTAATTGGATGGAAGTTGTCTTTACAAAATTTGATCAAAGCTTCTTCTGCTTCTTCAAAAGATGAATAAATGCACCGTGACAGAAACTAGCCATTTATATTAACAAAATTGTTGAAATTTCTAATATATATACTTAAGTGCAAATCGCGCTAAACAAAAATTACAGTTAAGAAAGAATTTGATACTTGTTTACGCTTATTAATTGATACTTCAATACTTCCTGCCGGCAATTTACCTCAAAATTATTTGCCGGCACTGCCGGCAATCACCTTTTGCGCAAAATTATCATTAAGTTTTTCATCAAAAATATAATCACTTTTCGTTTCTATATCATGCTTAAAATATATAGTTAAAAGTGTTTTTATTTACATTTTCGCAAAGGATCTATTATGCCCAATTTTATTTTTTAATTTCAATTCTATATAGTTTTTGATTCACAAATTACATTGTCTTTTTGATATTCACAATCTTCACAAACTTTAATGTGCACAATAATTTGCAATTATTATCACCATTCTATACTTTTACATTGTATACTTCTAAATCTTTTAACAAATCACTTTCACTTGAACCATTTCGAACATTTTGCAACGCATTTTTAACCATTTTAATAAATTTATTATTCATCTAAAAAAAATTACAAAAAAGTTATATAAAAAATGCTAAAGTCCTGTTGAACCAAAACCTCCCGTTCTTTCTTGTTCAGACAACATTGATTGCTTTTTTAATTGTTTATTAACATATACACATTTTTCAGCAAAAAATACAGTTATACACTGCAAAAAGCGTTTTGTGAAATTCACAAAAAATTTGGTTACTTTAACAAAAACATTTGGTGAATATTTATGCACCAAATGTTTTTGTTAAAATAACAAAATAATTTGGTAAAATGTATTTTGTAAATTTCACAAAATGGTTTTGTGAAATATTTTTCACCAAATCCGTTTGGTGAAATTTACCAAAAATATTTGGTGCATAAATATTCACCAAATGTTTTTGTTGAAATAACCAAGTATTTTGGTAAATTTCATTAAAATTGCCTCTTTTTTTGCGTGTAAAAAAAACAATAAATTTTCTTTGATTTTGAAGTCAAAATGGAACTTTCTCTCAAAAACTAAAGTTTAGGTAATATAACTCTAAAAAAAACATATTATTGACATTTGTTTTAGCTTGTATTATTACCGCATCTACAAACATTTTTTTTTTTTTTACGCATTATGCAACTATACAGTCTATACTTATAACAATTCAAGACAGTCAACTAAACTTATAAATTCAACTCAGAAGCCAATTCACTTGCTTTCGGGCATGATACGTCAAAATCGGGGCAATTAAAACAATATATATATATATATATATATATATATATATATATATATATATATATATATATATATATATATATGCAAAATCATCCAAGCTGGAAAACTTGCAATATTGTATTCCTTATCCAAGATCTAAAGACAAATAATTGAGAATGATAAAAATTCTGTATACAGGAATGCAAATATTAGTAATAACATTAAACTCACTTGAATCAGTTTAAACGAAAAATCCATTGCTTTCAAAGGGGTTTCAAATGACCATCTGTGATTGTTGTACACAACAACAGCGATGTTTAATGGAACAGCATAAACCAAAGATTGAAGTGTCAGCTTCAGGTCATTATATAAGATCCTGATGTTATTAATTGATTGCTCAGCATTTCAACTGACTGAAAAAATAAAGAAATAATAATAATTAAGCAATACAAGTAACAACTTAGTTATTATAATAATTTTTATTTTTAATAAATTTTAGTGTCTTTGAATAATAACTATTGAATAAAAACTTTTGTATTTTATTTATATTTAATTTACATTGGCTAGAAAAAGAAATGATTCACCACATTCTTTAACACTAGGAGTCCAGGATTTTCTCTTTGCTTCTTTGCATAAATGGATGGAACATTTGCAGCATGTCAATCGCACAATAGCCAAAAGAGCAGCTGTCTCATCTTCTACCCCTATATTATATATATTTTTATATATATACATATATATCTAAATATATATCTATATATATACATACATTTATATACATATGTGTGTATGTATATATATATATATATATATATATATATATTATATATATATATATATATATTTATATATACACATATATATATATATATATATATATATATATATATATATATATATATATATATATATACACATATATATATATATATATATATATATATATATATATATATATATATATATATATATATATATATATATATATATATATATATATATATATATATATCATAGATGATCCAGGTTATATTTAAAAAATCCAGAAAATTATTTGCTTAAAATATCCGGTAAAAATCTGGAATTTTTTTCCCCTTATTTTCCTCTTAATTTTCTTTTAGCTGAGTTGTATCTCAATTTTTTAGAGAATTTCTTAGAGAATTTTTGTATGAGTGATGACTAAAAAACCTTAAAAATCAAATATATTACACAAATATATACTTAAACTTGTATGTATAGAAAACCTTTTGGATATCCGGAAAAACTAATCTTGAAAAATATCCGGAAAATCCGGCAATATCTGGAAAAAGATAATGCCTGATATATACATATATAATACACATGAATGTATAAATATATTTTTTCCATTGTCAGTTAGGTGTATGAATATAGGTAATTTTCCGCCATCTTAATACTGTCTGTCAGATTGCCGACTAAGCTGTCATTGATATATGTATGCTAATCATATTATGCTAATCATACTATATATGCTAATTAAACTTTTATTAAAAACAAAACACTAACCATCTTGCATGGAATATTTTTTGGCAACTAAGCCTATCAATTTTTTTGCATGTAGTCGAATTTTTTGAAACATAAATTTGCTACAATGCTCATAATTCTTTTGCTTACTCAATTGAGTAAAATCGACATTTACCTATAAAAGGTAAGATATTATTTTGTATTTCTGTGGCAAACATTTAGTATGTGAAATATGGACATATGAAATAACACATAACAAATATTTAAAATACTTACCAATGCATCTGCTTTTAGATCCAAAAGAAGTTTAAAATTTGGAATGTCTTTGGTGCCAGATTGAAAACATTTCAACCTAAATTTTGAAGTTGATTTCCATTAATGGCACACTTCAGTCCATGGTTGATTATTAAATTTAAGCCAATTAAGGTCATCTTGAATTGCTTCTTCTATATAATTTTTTTAATGTTTAAAAATAAAACTAATAAAATACTAAAACTTTCTCCATGATAAAAAATTGATATGATAAAAAATTGTGCAAAGATTTATTCATTTTATCAAAATACAGTTTATCAAAGAAAATTTTAATAATTAACATAATGATATACAAAATTTTCTAAATATATAAAACACAATATACTATTTATAATAACTAAACTATCTTATAAAGCATACCATCGCTACTATCATGTTCTTCATTGTTGGCCGTTAGAATTTTTTGAAATACCCACTGATTTAATATTTCGCCATGTGTTGCGAAGCTTCTCGGACAACTTTCCACCAGCTATAGTTTTTTTACTCGTAGGAGCAGTATACCATGTTTCCTAATACAGATGATATTAAACATATATATCACTAACAACGATTTCGTTAAAAATCATATAGATCACATCAACTCATAAAGTTTATAAGTTACTTACAAGCTTTTCTGAGGGAAAATGTGTAACAATATCATTTTCTGATTCACAGACATCTGCATTAGTCGGACGATTTCTACAGAAAAATTTAAAAAGAATTTATATATCAAAAATAATTTTATCAAATTTTCATATGCATTTGCATTACTACAATGTTATAATTTTATATTTGTAACTTTCGTAATAAATAATAAGTAAAGACAATAATAAATAAAACTAATTTTGAAAATCTAATAACTTATTACTTACTGCAATCCTTACTTTTGAATAATATGGTTGACTACTATTCTAGCCAACTTGCTGCGTAAACTAAAGGTTAGATTTAAAGCACTTAACACAATAATCCCATCTGTGCAAGAATTCAGGATCGGGGCTAAACCATTCTATTAAATTTATAAATAATATTTAAGTGTTACTAAACAAAATATAATTTATAATTATAATCATCATACTAAGGATACAAATGATATGTTATCAATAATGCAAATTAAGTATTATAATATTTTCTTTAACAGAATTTATAAAAATAGTAAAACATTATAAAGAAAAATATTTCAAACCTCAGAGAGTACTGTTTTTATGATGAAGTACAGTTTTTGATGCAAAAACTATTTTACCAGCTGTATCTTGAAATGGCTTAGCTTGTTGTATACACTGTTTCTTCAATGGGCTTGTTACCTTGTTATTGTCCAAACTGAAGTCTATTTCACTTCAGCTCAAAGTAGCTGATTCTATAATCAAATTCACATTGGTTGCATTATTCACATAGGATGCAAACAGTATTACTAGTATTGTGAGAGTGAGAAACATTATTACATAAAAAAATCAAGTGTTTAAGTATTTTTAAAAATGTTATAGCCTCTTTTAAATCTTTTATTATTAATATGTAAGACAAATACCAAAGTTAGCATATCCGTTTTCTTTCTTACAATTTTGGGGTTCAAATAACACCCTTGACATACTGAGAGAGGCTAAATATTATTCATAAACTATTAGGTATATTTTTGATAAAAATATTATGCATATAATATTAAAAACAAAAAAACGAGTAACACGTAATTTGGTGATTTGCTATTCGTAACTTTTACCACTTTTACTGTTAGGTGAATTTTTAAACACATGACAAAAAAGTATAAAAAAATAACTGTACTGGATAACTTGTTTAGTATTGCATTGCTCTTAGAGAAATGAGCTAACTCAATATCTTCAACAAGATTCAAATTGTCTTCCACTAAAGTATACAAAATTATGTTATATGTAATATTTCCATAATTATTTAGAAATGTTATAATATAAAAATACTTGTTCAAAATACCTTTATGTAAAACTGGTGCATGATCACAATAGGCACACAAATCAAAACCTTTCTTTTTTGTGTATTCATCACAATCACATCCTGCTTTGAGACATTGCATTCTACTTCTCCCTTTATTATCCTTCGTTTTTAATAACACTATAAAAATGAGGAAAAATAAAGTAACAGAAAAACAACTTTACTTAATCATTTTATAATCAAGTTTTTTATTTTATTATATAAAATTATTTAGAAAAAACAACACTAAATAAATAAGGAAACCGATAAATGAAGTAATGTAAATATATCATTTTAGAAGTTACAGCAAAAATAATACTTATCTATAATATAATATTTTTGTGGGTTATATATTATAATATAAAATAATATAATTTTTTTTATAAAATTGTTTTTAAAAAAATAATTAACACCAGTTCACTAAAAAAAAAAAAAATACATCTACATTTGTTTAAAACTTAGAGAAACAAAAATAAGAGCAGGATTGAAAAGTTCGTTTTTTCAAAAGGAAAGTAACCTTTGCAAACTAAAATAGTAATGAAAAAAACTAAAAATGTTCAGATGAGTTCAGATGGCAATAATATCTTACATACTACTTATAAAACTTATTTAGTTTAAGGTAAAGACATTGTTTAAAGAATTTCAAATTTTTTGTTATAACAATTGAAACTTGTTTCCTTGAAGGTACCTATAGTTCCTTTCGTGACACAAATTTAGAATGAGTATAACTAAAAATTTAGAATGCTACTAACAATATCTTTACGTAGTTTCAACGGCTTTTCTTTTTCTTTGCTTTTCACCAAATCTATTTGGTAAAATTTACAAAATTTTTTTGGTGCATAAATATTCACCAAATGTTTTTGTTAAGATAACCAAGTTTTTTGGTATATACCCGTAAAGTTTCCTCATTTTATTTGGGAAAGTATAACAATAAATTTTGTCTTTTGTCGTAGATTAAAGTTCCATTTTTGTTTTGAAAAAATGGAACTTTAATGTGCGCTTTAAATTAAAAAAAAACGAAACAAAAAAAGACAAATTGTTTTAAATAAATGCTTTATTTTATCTAAATTAAGATTGAAATGTATCGAAAGAAGTTTATAGATTTAACTCAGATGCTAATTTACTTGCTTTCGGGCACGAAACATCAAAATCGGGGCAATTGAAACAATATATGTATTTCTGTAAAAACATCCAAGCTGGAAAACTCGCAATATTGTATTCCTTATTCAAGGCCTAAAGAAAAATAATTGATAATGAGGGCTCATTGTAAAGTGCGTTTGCAGGTATAAGACTTTGCCTCACCTTTTTCAAATCTCAAAAAAATGTCATATGGTAAATTATACTTTGTAAAATAATTATCACATACGTAGAGTAATTATACTTGTTTATTTACAGTTGTTTTAAGATTATTTTAGCACAAGAGCGTTTATTTGCATGAATTTTGTAATAACGCAAAAAGTAATGCAAAAAATCAGCACAATTTTCTAAAAGTGCAACTATATGCAATACTCGCTAATATACTAGTATTTTATATAAATTCAAACATGCAATATGTAACAAACAATGTATCAATAACAATATTCGACTCACCTAAATCAGTTTAAAAGAAAAATCCATGGCTTTCAAAGGCGTTTGAAATGACCATCTATGGTTGTTGTACACAGCAACAGCAATGTTTGGAGGTACAGCATAAACTAAAGGTTGAAGTGTGACCTTCAGATCATTATAAAGAATTCTTATGTTTTCTATTGAATTCTCAGCATTTTCAACTGACTGAAAAAAAAACAAATATTAAGCAATTTAATTTTTATTACGCAATGTAATTTTCATTACGTAATGTAATTTTTATAACACCCTTAATATTTTTAAATATAAAATTTTAATAGTTTATTATAAATTCATTGGCTAGAAAAAGAAATGATTCGCCACATTCTTTAACACTTGGAGTCCAAGACTTTCTTTTTGCGTCTTTAGATAAACGTATTGAACGTTTACAGCATGTCAACCGCACAATAGCCAAAAGACCACCTGTCTCATCTTATTCCTCTGTATTGTGTGTATATATATATATATATATATATATATATATATATATATATATATATATATATATATATATATATATATATATATATATATATATATATATATATATATATATATATATATATATATAAATATATATATATATATAATATATATATATATATATATATATATATATATATATATAATATGTATATTTATATATATAATATATATATATAATATCTGAAAAACCTGTTATGTCATTGGTATATGGAAGCATACTTATATTGTTAATCACAAACTATAATTATAATTTTTAACTAAAAATCTAACCAATTTTTATTAAATGTTTTTTGGCAACTAAGCCTAATAATTGTTTTGCAAGTAATGGAATTTTCTGAAACATAAAGTTGTTACAGTCTACATAATTCTTTTGTATGCTCAATTGCGTAAAATCGATATTTACCTAATAAAAAATAACAAACTCTTCTCTTAATTCTATTTTTTTTCCTATGTTAAACATTTTTACATTATATAACATATATTTAATATACTAACCAATGCATCTGCTTTTAAATCCAAATGAAGCTTAAAGTTTGGAATATCTTTGCTACCAGATTGAAAACTTTTCAACCTAAATTTAGAAGTCAATTTCCATTTATGGCACACTTCAGTCCATGGTTGACTGTTAAACTTTAGCCAATTAAGGTCATCTTGTACTGCTTCTTCTATATCAATTATAATATGTTTAAAAAAATTGAACCAAAAAATTCTTCACAATTTTATAAATATATATAATAGATAATAAATGTATACAAAATAAAATGTTTATCATTTCATCATCTTATAATTTCTAAATATTCTAAATTTTCTTTTACATAAATCACTTAAACTACTATTTAAAATAATTTAATATAAGATAAAGCATACCATCACTGCTATAGTGTTCTTCAACTAATTGCTAATCATTTGAACATTTTAAAATCCCAACCGATTTAATATTTCGCCAAGTGTTGCGAAGCTTTTCTGTCAGCTTTCCACCAGCTATACTTTTTTTAAATGTAGGTGCAGTATACCATGTTTCCTATTAAAAAAAAACAATTATAAAAAGCACTTAAAATAAAGGGGTTTAATTAAAAGTTACTTACAAGCTTTTCTGAAGGAAAATGTGCAACAATGGCATTTGCTGATTCAAATATATCTGCATTAGTTGGACGATTTCTAAAAAAATTTCAAGTGACTTCTACTTTAAAAGTAATTTGTCAATACTTTCTTATGTATTCACTTTCCTAGGTTGAAGAGGTCTTTAAAGTAGCGCCTCCTCAACCTGTAGGGGGCTGTTCATTTTTTGATATCAACTCTCAATCCCAAAATAATAGCCTTCTTGCAAAAAAAAAAATGCAGCTTTACAAAAAAAAAGTTGCTTTGTAAAGAACAAAAAAAAGTGTAAACAAAAGTGGTTGATGTGGGACTGATGCTTGTATAGAACCATCCCAAGTAGATAATTCTTCTACCTGATGAAAATTCTAATCTGTACTACGATGGCATATAATTAATAATAGATTGAAACATAAAATTACAATATAAAAATTATGAAAGTATTTAATAAATCTAATAATTTGTTTACTTACTGCAGACCTCTCTTTTGAATAACGTGGTTTACTACTACACCAGCCAACTTGTTACGTAGACTAAATGTTAGATTAGTAGCACTTAACACAATCATACCATCTGTGCAAGATTTTAAGATAGGGGCTAAGCCATTCTGTTAAATTCAAAAATCATATCCCAGGTTTACTAAGGTCAATATATCTTTTTGAACCAAAATTATTAAACTTGTGATACAATCTAATAAATTATTCCAACTAAGTGTTAAAATATTTCTTTACTCATAAATTTCGAATATAGTAAAAAAAGTATATCAAAAAAAAATAATAGTAAAACCTCAAAGAGAGCACAACTTTTATTATGAACAATGGTTTTCGATGTAGAAATTACTTTATTAGTCAATACTGTATCTGAAAACATACAATGCTTTTTCAAAGGGCTCATGAAATCATTACTGCACACATTGAAGCCTTTTTCACTTTCATTTAAAAAAGCTGGTTCTAGAATCAAAAAACATTATTATTCAGATCAGTTGCAAATAGTAATACCAGTATAACAAGTGTGAGAGAAATGTTAAGTTACTTAAAAAAATTTAGATAGTCAAGTAAACTCTTATATTTAAAAATTTTATTGAAAAAAAATCAAATTTTTAATAAAAAACAACAACTTCCATAACCAAAAATTTTACCTTTAATGTTTAAACCACTCACCCTAAGTCTCTAACAACTGTTACCTTATTATAGGATAAATTGTACAATAAAAAAAATAATTATAATAGATACCAAGTGTAACATCTTCATTTTCTTTTGCATCATTTTGAGGCTCAAAAAACATGCTAGACATACTGGGAGAAGCTAAAAATTATTTATAAATAATAGATATATTTTTGGGAAAAACTTTATGTTAACTGTATTTAACTTAAAAACTAGTAACACACATTAATTTGGTTTTAACTATAAAATGATTTACTATCATTTAGTTTTACCACTAACATATTTTAGTTAGGTGAAAAGCAAAATAAATCATTAAAAAAGTGTACTGGATAAAGTGTTCTGCATTGGATTGCTCTTTGTGAAATCAACTGAATGAACATCTTCAATAAGATTAAAACTATCTTCTACTAAAACATAAAAAAGAATTACATGTCAGTTATTTTTGTTTAAAAAAAAACAATAATAAGCATCAAGCTTCTACAGATACAAACTAATTGTATTTTATATATTATTGGCATAATTATATAGATTAAATAATTATGATACTATTGTACATTTATGTAAAACTGGTGCATGATCACAATAAGCACACAAATCAAAATCTTTCTCTTTTGTGTACTCATCACAATCACAACTTGCTTTGAAACATTGCATTCGATTTTTTCCTTTTTTATCCTTCATTTTATATGACACTATAAACAGGCAAATAAATGTTTATATTTTATGTTACATAACACATATAAAACTAGATTCACTTTAATATATAACAATTAAAACTTATTAAATTTAATAAATCTAGAAAAAGTCAAAAAATGAAGATATTTCATTACTTTATTGTTCTATGCATTTTTTTAGTTTATTGCATAAGATTAATTATATAACTGTTAAAAAAAAGCAATCCTGAAGACTAAAGGAATTATATATATATATATATATATATATATATATATATATATATATATATATATATATATATATATATATCAATAATAAAAGTAATTTCTCGGTAGACAGTGCTCAATACAAAAGTAGAGCAAATATATTTTAAATTAATAATAAAATAAATACAATTAAATTTGAAACATAACTCAGAGTTTCACGCTTTATGCGATCATCAGACGTTACAAACAACCGTAATAACAACAAAAATTATATAAAATACAATACAGTGTTAGCTTAGATGACGTTAAAGTTGCAAATAACAAATTTGTTTTCGTTAAAGTTGCAAATAACAAATTTGTTTTCGACTTTGTATATATATATTTATATTTATATATATATATATATATATATATATATATATATATATATATATATATATATATATATATATATATATATATATATATATATATACATATATATATATATATATTAAATAGATACTTATTTAAAAATTCAAGAAGCAAAATAAAGAACATCAAATATTTACATAAAAGTAATAGTTTTTTAAAATAAAAGCAACCAAGTCCAATCTTTATACTTTGTGTATTAATGATACATAGTTACTTTTATTTAGATTTCGCAGTGTTAATGGCCAAGGTGAGATAATGCTATCAAAGTGAGAGCAATTTAAAACAATTAATTCTGTTTCAATGTCAACCTCAAAAGATTGCAAGTGATAGCATTCTGATATAAAAAACAACTTTTGACAAATAAAAAAAAAATAGTCAGTATCAGATATAAAAATTTGTTTGATTATACAAAATTCAGGATATAATTCTCCAACTGCATGAATAACAACAGCACCAATTTTAAAGTTAACAAAGTTAACAGAAACACTTTTTGATTGAAAAATTTCTCTGTATATTCCATAGTTGCCTATCAGTTCTGAAACAGTTTGTCCATCAATCACATGACAAAGTAAAATGGGCTCAGTTTTAGCAACACTAAACTCATTTTTTTTCAAACCATGTTTCGCCATGAACCTTGTTGACTGGTCCATTTGGTGTCTAATAGCTACTGTTTTACAAATATTTTTAAAATTCCCTACAGATGATGCAGTTTTCTTAAAATCTCTCAGTTTACCTTCACATGGAATCACCCACATATGACTTAGTGGACCAAGCATTTTAATAATTCGTGGATAATGAATGAGATTATGAAACTTTAAAGTTAAGCCACACTTAAATGCATAACAGTATTCTTGTAAAAACTCAGCATTGATAGAAGCAAAGTATATCAAATCAGGTTTGCTAAAATGCAAGCCAAATGAGTAAAGGACAACTTGCCTTAACAATAAAAAATAACCCAAATGTTGTCATCAAAAGGAACTAAGTCTCCAACTAATAAAGGAAAGCTTAGAACTAAATTGAGCATTTCAATTGCACCAATATTAATAGAACCATTTTTTATTTGAAACTCAGTAGTACAAGAAGGAATTGATGAGTGATCATATGAAAAATTTCTTATTCTGCTACTTATGTCACTAAGATTAAAGAATTTTTGTTGAAATACTAGATAATTTAACATTTTATGGAAAAAGTATTTGCAAACGCCTTCTAATAAATCATGCATAATATCGCAATAAATGTTATCATTGACATGAAATGATGGAATTTTGTTAAAACAACATTCTTCCTATATGCCATTAAGAGACCAATTATTTAAAGAAACATCATAATCGTAACATTCTTTAGTTCTAAGTAACTCAACCGATTCAACAAACGTACAGTCAAAGTTTTTGCGCTTTATTTTGCATATTCTGCATGGGTATGTAGCAGTAAAACTTTCCACATAACCCAACACTCCATTTAAACCTAGATTGTCACCAATAATTTGAACAAGCACAACAAATATTTTAAAATTGTTTTCGTCAATTTTTATAGTAAAACCTTTAGTTTCTAATTCTGTCATTTCTTGTATATATATAGAAAATGCATCTTTATTTGAATATTTATTGCGATCAGAAGAGTTTATAACTGCACTTAACAAAATATTATCGAGTTTTGAGTTTTGTTGTGGTTTTATGCATTTTAGAATTGTACACAATGCTCCAATTTTGTGAATAGTGCTATGAGAACCAAGCGGGTTAGCGGTTTCTAAATCATCAAAAAAACAAAATACTGGTATTAAAAGAGTATTTTGTGAATGAGCGTATTTAAGACGTAATTGATGATTTTGCCACAACTTTCCGTCTTTAAAGTCTGAAACTAAACCATTATTAGATGGTTTCATATGATTTCTAATTTCATTAAGTACATTAGGAAGACAAAGGAAAACTTCAAGACACTGCTTTAATGAAACATATTGTCCTGTTGCAATACAAGTCGAGCAAACTATTCCTTTAGCTGTTCTTTGAGTGCTTATAAAATGACCTATTGGGTATGATTTTGGTTTTATATAATATCCTTTCTTTTCAAAGTATTTTGTCTGTTTATGTTAACTTTCTAAACCTTGAAAAGGTTTTTTAAGGCGCGAGATGTTGTTGCAGAAATTATTACATTCATCAATTTGGAGACCATGTTTGTCAAAAATTACTTGGGCCTCATTACTAATTCCTGTTACAACTGACGTATTAAGTCTGAACATGCATCAACAATTTTCAATGTAGTGCTTAGTGGCAGATTAGGATAACTTCTCAGTTTTGAAATAAAATAGGCAGAGTCTTCAAAAATACCATTGCAATTGTCAAACCTTATACCAAAATTTCTCATATTCACTATGCTAACAGATTCTGTACTGTGGATACCTGAAGAGAAGTCACTAGAAGAGGAGCAGCACGGCTTATAATCTTGGCTTTCCAAAATATGTTCTAAAAGAACTTCTTTATGAGATTTTTCAATATGTTTTATAAGACTTTGGAAAGAATTATATTCTAGCGGACAACCTTCCTGTCTGCAAACTAATCTCTCACCATAACTATGTTTATTATGAAAAACTTTTAAATGGCACTTATACGAATTGCTACATCTTGCAGTATATTCACAATAAGCACAGTTAATCATAGTTAAAGTGGTATTAAAAGCAGTCGGTAAACAAACAATGAAAAATTAATGGCGACATAAGTTTTGTTTTTTCACTCGAGATTTGCAATCCCGCGGCGCTTTTGGTGAAAGTAACCAAATATATTTTGTAAATTTTACCAAATTATTTTGTTGTTTTATGCGTGAATACAAAAAGCAAATAAAGAAAGTAACCAAATAATTTGGTTAAAATAACTAAATCATTTTGGTAAAGTTCACAAAAGGTTTAGCTTTTTTCACCAAACATATTTGTAGTTTTTACAAAAACTACCTAACCAAACATGTTTGGTTAAATTAACAAAGCAATTTTTTGCAGTGTAATAGCCATTTGTGCAATAGCTTGTCCTTCGTTTACAGAAAAAGGTATGCTAGACGTTTTGTAAAGAATCACTTTGATTTCATCTTTATAATTTGAATCTATTATTTCAGGCGAATTTAATAACATGATACCGTGATGATAAGCAAAACCAGACTTTGAAGTAAGTAAACCATATTTATATATATAAGTTGATATCAGCTCTCGTTGAAAAGGTAACATTATTTTTTTTTTCAAGACTACGTAAATCAAAAGTAGCATTTTTTTTAGTTGCATAAGCAGACGAACCTTATCTAATATAACTGATTTCATTATGTAATATTACTGATTTCATCTAAAAAAATTAACATCCGTATAATAGTTAACATGTTGGAGAAAAAAGTAAAAAGAATCGTTAGGGTAATAATAAACATCAGTTTTTTGATAAATTTGACAATAATAACACTTTAAAAAATTATCAAAATTTTGCAATATCTTTTCATAATGAAATAATTTATTTTGAAGCATAACGTTCATAGTTTTATATAAACTTAAATAATCACTAGTGTCTGTTCATTCGTTTTTCAAATCATCTCTAACAAAATCTCATCTTTAATTTTTTCAGTTACTCGTTTAATTTTGATACCATCTTGATCCATGGTCATTATATCGCAAGAATCATTTGTTATTATTTTGTATATTTTTATATTATATATATTATATAAATAATATATAAATATATTGTTATTATTATATATATATATTATAACTATTTGTCCTCATTTTGTATAATGATACATTTGTTAAATTATTCAAAGCTTCTTGTAAATCTTTTTTCCTTATTTTATTCATTCTAATCTAAAAAAAGTTACAACGTCAAATGCAATATGTTCTTACAATATGCCATATGACAACACATGTTCATTTAAACATAATTCACAAAATTCTAAATTACACCAATAACAAGTATAAGTAAATGAAAAAAATTTATATATGTTATATATGTTTTAATAAACACAAATAGCATTATCTTTCTTCACACCAAAAACATTCGTGAAGATAAAGATGTAACTTTTGACAAGTAGCAACTTTGTCTTTATCGACTTTTTCTAACTCTGTTTCTGTTAATGGATAATACTTAGATTCTTTTTCTGTCAAAAGCCATTCTCCTAATCCGTCAATACTTTTCCGTAATAATTTTGATATTTTGTAATGTTTAAATAACTCTTTATTCACATCAATACTACAAAGTTTTCTCTCTCCTCAATTTGAATTATCGTATTAACTACATCTTGAGGTAAATGTCATTCATTATTAACTAACTCAAGACATTCTTCTTTAAGTTTGCTCATTGTTGTAAAAGATTTTTCAAAGTCTTCATGCAAATATCCATTACGCTTTAAAAAAAATTCAAAACTTGAATTCATGTTTGAGTT